AACTCCCTTCTCCTTAAGTATTTCCGACCATGGGATTCTACCCAGCATAACTTTAAGTTTATCAAAATTTGCTTTCCTGAAGTCCAACCTATATGTCTTACTATGTACAGCTTTTACCTTCCCCAAGACTATAATTGCCAAAATAACATGGTCACTATTACCCAGGGTGCCCACTACTTTCACCATCAACCAGTTCTTTCCTGTTGTTAAATATCAGGTCCAAGATAGCAGATCCCCTTGTTTCCCTCTCCACTTTCTGGAAAATGAAGTTGTCAGCAAGACAACTCAGGAATTTATTGGACCTTTCATTCTTAGCAGACTTGGACTTCCACCAGACATCTGGGTAATTGAAATCTCCCATGACCACCATGTACCGTCTCTTTGAGAATTTTGTAATCTGTTGTAGGAGTGTCTCATCCAAGTTCTCTGCCTGGATTGGTGGTCTATAGCAGACCCCCACCATGATATCAGTATTATTTCTTATTCCTTTTATTTTTACCCAGAGACTCTCAACTGGACTTTCATGCTCAAATTCATACATTTCCTCACAAGTATATACCTCCTTTACATATAATGCAACTTCTCCGCCCTTTCTTATTTGTCTGTCCCTTTTAAATAATTCCCCGCAGGCCTAATATTCCAATTGTGAATGTCATCCCACCAAGTTTCAGTAATGCCTATTAGGTCATAGTCCCCTTCCTGTATTATGACTTTAAGTTCCTCCTGCTTGTTTCCCATACTGTGTGCATTAGTGTAGAGACATCAGAATCCATGTTTTATGAACCCTGAGGTTTTCATTTCTGTACTTACATGTGGGTTAATGTTATCTAGTATACATGCCACTCCCCACAAAACTTTAGAGTTTTTATTTCTAGTTATTGACTTTGCATTTTTGTCTTGCTCCCCCACATGATTTAGTTTAAAGATCTCCTTATTAGGTTTGCAAGGCTGTTTCCAAACACATTTTTCAAATTCTCGTGAGGTGCAAACCATCTCCCGATAGAAGAACTTCATCTTGAAAGCATAAGCCATGGTCCAAAAATCCAAACCTTTCCTGATGACACCAATCATTGATCTGCAGTATTCTTCTTTCCTTTTCCTACTGTGTGCACCCAGTAGACAGCATACATAATAAGATGACAAGTCTGGTCGGCACAGCTTAGTTTCTACTCCTCTCAGTAGGGAATCCCCAATTACCAACACATGCCTTTGCCTATTTTGGGAAGCAGAGACATGAATCCTCTCATCCACGGGGGTTTGAGAAGTTTTCTTCAAGCTTTGTGGAGGCTGGGGTAGGAGCCCTTCTTCCAGTGGTTCAGAATCAATATCTGTGGGGAGATCCAGGAACCAATTGCTTAGTAACAGAGGCTCAGAATGTCTCTTGATCTTCCTGCTCCTGTGGGTTATATTCTTCCATGTGCCCTCATCTTGTGTTGGGTGCTCCTCCAGTTGCTAGGATACCTTTCCCTCCTTCTCCTATTGCCATCTCAGGAGTGCTTCATGTGTTCACGAACTCTTCACTTTCCCTTATAAACTGGAGTATGGACGGGCCTGTATCAAGTCCCTGTATCTTCTCCTCCAGTACGGCTACCACTTACACTTGCTGCAAGTGTAATTGCTGTTACCCTCAGGTAAGAATACAAACATGCCACAGACTTTGCCCATCACTGCCTCAGCTCCCTCACCAACGATGCTGTTGTAATCCTTTTCAAAATTAGTTCAGTTTAACTGATACTTCTTTGATAACTTCCTTACCAAACTGCCTCTCAAGACTACTTGTGAAATGTTTGCAGAAGCAAAACTTAACTTAACAAAGAAGAAGAAGAAGAAGAGAAGAGATTGGATTTATACCCCGCCCTTCACTACCCAAAGGTGTCTCAGAGTGGCTTACCAACTCCTTTCCCTTCCCCTTCCCACAACAGACACCCTGTGAGGTAGGCGGGGCTCAGAGAGCTCTTGACAGAAACTGCTCTTTTTCAAGAACAGCTCTTATCAGAGCTATGGCTTGCCCAAGGCCATCCAGCCAGGTGCCAGTGGAGGAGTGGGGAATCAAACCCGGTCCTCCCAGATTAGAGTCCATGCACTTAACCACTACACCAAACTGGCTCTAAATGTAAGATTTATTCAGCCTTCTATGGGGGCCCCAGGCCAGACCCACAGGCTAAGAGCCACAGGCCAAGAGCAGGCCAGAGGTTCGTGCCTCTGGCGAGGTGCAGCCTTAAATAGAAGCCTCACCCAAGCAGATGGCGGGGCCAGCAGCTATTCAAACTACACTCAGGCAATCCAATTATAGGCAAACAATAACCCTTTCTCAACCTTTCTGAAGCAGCCAGGACTCTGCAACAACTTACAACTCACCCACACACTCCCAAACACAGTCCTCCCACACAGTACCCTCAGCTAAATCTCCTCAACTGAAAGCAGATTCAAAAAACACTCACCTCTCTAGCAGCTCTGTCTCTTGCTGCTTCTCAGAGCTCAGCTGGGATGTTCATCTTGCCTCAACCATGGCCAGGGCTTTCTCTGCCCTGGCCCCAGCCTGGTGGAACACGCTCCCTACCGAGATCATGGCCCTGCGGGATCTTCTTCAGTTCCACAGGGCCTGCAAGACAGAGCTGTCCACCAGGCCATTGGCTGAGGCAGCGGGCGCCCATACATGGCCTCCCTGAGGTTGCTGTCATCTATCCACTGATAGCTGGCCATTGTTCCATCCGTATCAATGGACCGGAATCCTTATAGCCAGCTGAATTTTTGTTTTAGTTGTAACTACCAATTTTAATGTTTTATATTGCTTTGTGTTTTAAATATCACTTTGTGTTTTAAATTTTAAACTCTGTATTTATTACAAATGGTGTTACCCGCCCTGAGTCCATTCACGGGATGGGTGGGATACAAATCTAAATAATAAATAAACAAACAAATAAATAAATAACTGTAATAATCTGCAAGGAATGCCAAGGCTAAATTGGGGTTTAGTACAAACTGGACATATGGGGGGGGCAGTTATTTCAGATGATTAGGAAGATGGCTTTGGTTGGGATGGGGATATGGAATATGATAATGTTTAGTACAAACTGGACATATGGGGGGGCAGTTATTTCAGATGATTAAGAAGATGGCTTGGGTTGGGATGGGGATATGCTTCCACAGTTAGGGATGTGGAAGACAATGGGAATACAAGTGATTCTTTCCCCTTTTGTTTTCCAGGCCATATTGATTGAACCAAACACTATCAGGACAGATGCTGAGATCCCTTGCATTGAGTCATCTGCAAATTATCCACCAAATTCCAATGATGTAAGTTATGATCTAAAAGTAGAGACCGTATAGAAGACTCAAGGAGGAACAATGATGAAGAAATTACACCTCTTTTGAGGTAAACGAAAAATCTGGCCCTTTTCCTGCATGATAGATTTCCTTCAAGTGCTGCCTAGCTGCCAGGCCAGTGAGGCCAAAGTGACTATCTCTTGTCTTTCTCCACTACAGACTCAGTCTTAGGCTGGGCTCAAGAAGCATGTGGCTTGATCTGCTCCACCTTGGACTAGGAGATAACCCACAGACTCCTCTTTGCGTAGGTTGAGTATGGAACTTGCAGTGGGTCTGGCAAATGGATTCTTAACATATCACAAATGTGCTTGAGGACTGTCTAGATACAGTGTTGGGGGTGGTTACAAGACAGTTGGGGGACCAGAGGAACAAAAGCATGCGGGAGCATGGGTAAATCATCAGTGGATCGTTTCTGCCTCTGGCTGGCTCCAGTGCTGACCCAGCTGCATGACAAAAGTGAGACTTGTTTGTGGTCTTGACCTGAATGGGCTGGTGCCCAGTATTAGAGCTGGTAGATAACGGCTCTTTATTGAACTTGAACGGATGCTGATGGTTGACAAAGACTCCTGACTGAATGCTGTATCGAGCTCATTCTGAGTAGCTGGTGACGGGGCCACCATTTCCACTGCCCCTCTTGTGCTTCCTTCAGGGACCGTGGGTTCTGTGGGAAAAGCTGCACCTGAGAAGTAATTTGAAAAGCAAATCAACGCTGGTTGGTCGTATAAAGCTCATCAGCAATGCTGGATCTTTGGGCATTGCCTACTACTTGTGTTTCTAATCATTGTACATACATGCAAGTAAAGAGTAACTATTTATTTAAAATATTTTATATTCCTCTTTGTTACTCTGGAAAACAGAGGCCCAAGGGGGCAACTCGTGCCCGTAGACTTTTCTGCAGGTTTATCCCCCAAAGGGATCATACCACAGCCTCTTTGTGATGGTACAGCTGGCAGCTATGAGTGAGATGAGCTAACATAGCAGGTATATATTACTCTCTTTCCACTGGGGATCCATTTCTTAGTGAACCCTGGAAAACTTTGAGCAACTTTTTATATTAACCAGCTTCCATGATGGGCCTCTAGCATTTTGCCATTCTAGGTCCGCTATGAGCTAGAGCTGTCGGCCCAGGAATGAGTCACAGGTCCCGCCAGCACTGATCTCTGCTCCAACATTCATGGGCAATCCCTACTGATTGAGTAGGAAGTAACTTCCCAAGCAAAGAAGCTTCTCCTGCAAGTAGGAAGTAGGTTGCAATCCTGACCCGGTTTTATGTGCTTGAAGTCCTACTGAACTAAATACAATTTCTGTGTGCCTAATGAAGGATTGTAGACTCCAGACACAGTCCCCTGGGAGACTCTCCTGCGTGAGCACCACTGAAATGAATGAGTGTTGCATAAGGAATGCTCTTGCTCTGCTCCTGTTCATGCCAAGGGGTTTCTAAAAGAGAACTTTGTGGTAGTCTATGTCTTTGGTCAACAAGATAACGGGTTTGGTTTGGGGAGTATTTTACTGCATATTGTGTAATTAGTAGCTGGTGTTTTCAGAGGTTTTATAATTCTTGTTAAGCAATTGGGAATGGCTGGATAGGAATCCATTCCACTGACTTCCAAGCATCTTGGTTAATATTTCTTCAGAGCATGTTTTCATGGGAATTTTTTCTACTGACTATCAAGTGGCTGTCTGTGATCTAGGGATACCTAATGTTGGGTGACCTTGGAGAGATCTGCTTTTCAGGGCTGCTAATTTTTCACTTGGTCCTTCAAAGGACAAATTTAGATTTTAGATTCTGTGGCTGATTTGATCTATGTTTGATGAATCTTGCTTTTCATTTTTTTTTTAAAAGGAAAATAAAACATTTCTCTTAAACAAATATACTTCTACATTTTGAATACTCTCTGTTGGCTGTTACCATCTCCTGTGGGACCTCTTCTCGTTCCTGAACCATGTGGGCCATAGAGAGCCAGCTCGTCACCTTATGTCCCTCTTAACCAGCAGCAGCTCCACAGACAGAATTTTGAAACAGATTTTCCCCCCTATATGTCTATCAGGAGCTCAGTATAGATGACCATATAAAATAATGGGGAGCAATCAACAGAGCTCCAGTTACAACACTCTGATTAGAATTCAGCATCATGTTGCCTTACACCGAATCACACCTTCAGCCTGATGTAACTCAGTATGGCCTACTCTCCTATATCACCTTGACGGGGTCTCAGGTTGAGAGAAGTCTTTCACAGGTCCCTTCAGCCTAGAGACAATGGTCTGTATGAAGACCAGGTGCTCTCTAATGGAGTGTCAGGTCCTCCTCTAGATACAGTATTGAAATATGCCTTCAGATTTCAAAATAATATTGACTATTTAATTCAAGAATCATTGTCTGAATCTCAAATGTAACATTCAAACTGAGATCATTTCACCAGAATGTATCCTGCATGCACTCACAATGCTGATATGCTGCTGGTCACCCAGGCTCTTTTCCACTGTGCAAACATATTGGTTACTGAAATGGCTTATATTAGACTGGATGTGGTGGAGGGCCAGGGTGTGTGTGTGTGTGTGTGTGACACAGCCCAAAGGGGCAGAGGTGCCAGAACCTTGAGGCTGGCCATGTGGAAGACAGAAATAGGCTGTGGTCAGACTGGTGGCTTGGAGCAATATCGTGTCGCCTCTAATTGTAGCACTTTGAAGTATTGCGAGGCATACCAACCAGACAGCACACCCTGCTATGGGTCACCTATGCAGCCATCCTATGGGCATGCATCCACATTACTGCAGCACCTCAGCCACGGAGTACACTGCCCAGAGGTTTTTTAAAAAATGCAGGTGGGTGCATGTGTATCCGCACATATAGGCAGAAACTAAAAAAAAAAACATTTCCTGTTTCCTTACACTTAATTTCTGTTGCATTAGGGGTTATTGTTCCACATTCCATTATTCCATTGGTTGTGTTATGGATTCACATGTATTCTTTTACAATTCCTATGTTGCACGCAACCTTGCTCTTCTTCACTGCTGGTTATCATTTCTGCTGGGAACTGGGGGGGGGAGTGAATGTGTACGGCTCTCTGCTTTGCTTGGTTAGTATCAGCTCATAGCAGTTCTCATGCAGAGGCCTCCCGAGTGTGTTGAGAACACCTTGGGAAGTATGTGATGTTGTTGCAGGTGTTAGGGGCAGTCGCAAGGGCAGGGGCAGATGCGTAGCAAGCTGAATGGGAGCAATAATTGGTTGCTTGGCATTTGTGGAATTTCTTGCTTTCAGTATATTGATGGAACTAGCGTCTGGGCCCCAGTTCGAACACAGAAGCTGTCTATGCTTGGAACCTTTCTACCTCTTAATAAACAAATCTTGCTGCTACAAGAGTGTTTGTGAGAGTGATTGCATCCAGGAATTAACATAGTGTTGGATCTGTTTTAACCTCAACCCTGAGTACCACTGCCATGATGAGCTCAGAAGACGAGGAGCCTGAAACGAAGACCCCCCTGAAGTGACCCAGTGGCCAGGGGGACACTGTGCTGCCTGGAGGAGAACTGAAGGGGCGTGATGTGAAGCAAAAGAAGCTGCGGGCCAAGACAGGATGGTGGGATGCCCCTGACTGGGCTACTCCCTCCCTAGGAGCCTCAGGGGTCTGGAGGAGGTGGCCAGATGAGGACTGATGCTGGATCGCTGGAGTTTTCCACAATGACACAGAGGACTGTTGCAGTGAGGCTGTCAGACTCTTGAACAAATGGGCTCTCAACAACACTCTCTTGGCAGTGATTTGTTTATTGAGAGATGTGAATGTTTCAAGCTGAGACCATCTATGTCATAACCGACTCTTTTGGTGCCAGTCCTGAAATTATACATGATTCAAACAAGCCCCCCCCCCGGTGACTAGTCCAATCAATCCATTCATTCAGCTTGCCTAAACCTAGAGTGCTCCGTTAGCCCTCCTTCCCCACCTGCAAACCTACAGTTATATTATCTACTAAAAGCCAGCTAGCGGAGACTGGCATTCAAGGTTGTTGTGCATTCTGCCTATGTGTTTGTGAGAGTGATTGCATCCAGGAATTAACATAGTGTTGGATCTGTTTTAACCTCAACCCTGAGTACCACTGCCATGATGAGCTCAGAAGACGAGGAGCCTGAAACGAAGACCCCCCTGAAGTGACCCAGTGGCCAGGGGGACACTGTGCTGCCTGGAGGAGAACTGAAGGGGCGTGATGTGAAGCAAAAGAAGCTGCGGGCCAAGACAGGATGGTGGGATGCCCCTGACTGGGCTACTCCCTCCCTAGGAGCCTCAGGGGTCTGGAGGAGGTGGCCAGATGAGGACTGATGCTGGATCGCTGGAGTTTTCCACAATGACACAGAGGACTGTTGCAGTGAGGCTGTCAGACTCTTGAACAAATGGGCTCTCAACAACACTCTCTTGGCAGTGATTTGTTTATTGAGAGATGTGAATGTTTCAAGCTGAGACCATCCATGTCATAACCGACTCTTTTGGTGCCAGTCCTGAAATTATACATGATTCAAACAAGAAGCCCCCCCCCGGTGACTAGTCCAATCAATCCATTCATTCAGCTTGCCTAAACCTAGTGTGCTCCGTTAGCCCTCCTTCCCCACCTGCAAACCTACAGTTATATTATCTACTAAAAGCCGGCTAGCGGAGACTGGCATTCAAGGTTGTTGTGCATTCTGCCTATAGTTGGGAGGCCCACTTGGAAAGCAGTTGTAAATTAGCGTGGCAAAGCAGTCCTGGACACACACACAAACTCACACACAGTCTGCCCCCCCCCATTCCCCACAGTGAAGAAACAAAGCATTAATGGTACAGTACACGCAGTGAAAGCAGAACATAGAAAATCCATGGCAAATGAGGACTGAGTTTGACATTCTGCCCCCCCGGCTTGTGAAGGTGAGATTTACGAAAGGCACGAACCCGCTTGGGGGCTTTTACACGATCACTCCGCACTCATTCATTATGGCTATGATCAAAGTCTTGCCCCTTAATGAGATAGTACAGGTGGCCCCGTTTGATTCTAGAGTCTAAGTCTTTTTCCACCTCCTGATGGAGTTTCCCATCC